CCCCGCCCCTGCCCCGCCCCGCCCCGTGACCGGCCGGTGGGCGGGGCTCCGAACTGCTATCTGGGCCGGGACAAGCGAGGGGCGGAGAGCAGCGAACACGCGTTGCCTGGGCGACCGGGGGCGGAGCTCATTATGTAACGGGGCCGGGTGACAACGACCAATGGGGTGGCGACCACGGCTTCTGCTGAATGAAAACAAACGCAGCACGTGGGCCCGGCTCTGCAGCCATGTGAGCCCTCCTGGGCGGCCCGGGAGGGAACTGTAGGTGCCCTACCCTGGGCACAGCACCACTCTCCGGACTCCGCTCGTGGCGCTCCCGACTGTCCTGGGGATTCCCCAGTGAGACCAGGCCCGCTGCTCAGCCCCTCCAGCCCGGAGTTCCGGCCGCCCACCGCCTCGCCCAACTCGGGGCAACTAGGGGAAGGGGCGGAAAGGGTTCTCTTTCCGGGGAACAGGGAAGCCACGGCCACAGGAGGTGGACAGAAGATGGGCTCCCAGGACCCCTACACTGTTCATCTCACAACACTCACACCCTCTCCACTTCCCCCTGTTCTGGAACTAGGTCCCTCAAGCTCAAAGGGGCTTTAAGACTCTGAAGTGGGGGCGCCCCTGGGCGCATTTCCCGCTCGAAGAATAAGCTGCCCTGGAAAGCGCAGTTGGTGGCCTTTTAGCCCGCCAGCAACCCCCTGGACGGACTGGTTCCGCCTCGGGCCCCTTACAAAGTTCTTGCTGTAAGGGGAGACAGTGATGCAAGAGGCCGACAGTAAAGGTATCTGAGTACCTGTGTTGTTGTTGGAGTCCAGGGTCGTCATGTCTCGTCACCAGCTGACAGCGGTCATTCAAACTGGACCTGGATGCAAACTGGAGGTTGCGACGGCCGCTGTCGCCCCCGGGCACTGAGTGAGAGCGGGGAGTGAACCCCACTGCTTGCGATCGAGATCCGGAGCACCCTGCAGCAAGGTCTCGGGGTGACCGGACTGCAGCCCTGCAGACGCGGAGACAACGTAGGTCGGCTTTGCATGGGAAGAGCAGAGAAACAGAGTGTGGGGGTAAATCAGCCTGCAGTAGTTCTCACTAGAAGGTGGCAGCGAGGGTCGGTCTCTGCAGTGCCCCAGGTGCCACTGCCGGACAGCTCCGCTGCGCTGCAGGGTAGCGAATCTGGAGCCGCCGGTGCAAAAGTCCCAGAGAGAGAGGTTAGAGCCAGGAAGGAAGGAAGTGAGTGATGGGGAGCACAGGCACTCAGGCGCAAAGAAGCGAGACGTGTGCCCTGCTACGTTCCCTCCTCAGCAATATTTCACTCTGCCAGTCTCAGCCGCCTTTTGCCCGAGCCGCTTTGCCTGCCTCTTTGCGCAGGCGCCAGCAGTCCAGGGTTCCCGGGCCGCACGCGGCACTTGAGCAGGTACCATGTGATCCCAGGGAGCGCCTCGTGCCCCAGTGACACACTTTTCCAGCAGCAGGCACGTTGAGCTGAGTGCGCCTGCGCAGCGCCAAGGCTTTCGGGATTTGTAGTCGCTGACAAAGCGGGCAGTTCGCTTCTAGTTCCTCCTTTCTGCCTTGGGAAAAAGCTCCGGCTGGAGCCGAGGGCAGGGTAGAGTGCCCTGAAGAGCCGGGGTGAAGTGTTTTCGAAGCTTGTATGGCAGGAGCATGTGAATTCCTGGGGAGTGACTGGCAAGCTTGGCTGCTCCCAGGGAGATCAAAGCTAACAGGCCCTTTCTGCAGACCTTGCAAACGTGAGGGCTTCACGTGATAAGGAGCTGACCTTGGCCAGAGCTTGTTGGTGACACTGGGAGGGGCGACATCAGGGGTGGGAGAGTCCCCCATGTCAGGCGCTCCTGTTGCCTTTGGCAACAGGACCAAGTTGGGCAGAAAAGGAAATGTGCCTCTTTTCCCTTCTGCTCCCTTTAAGAAGAACACAACCCCCCCCTCATCCGCCCCCAAGGAGTTGCCATGGGGTGCGGGTGTCCCTAGGAACTCCCTGTTTGCTTTCTGACCCCACCCCACCCACTCGAGGTGACTTGTGATGAGTCATTTCCTTTTGTCTGGGAAATAAAAAGGACAAGGGAGGGGAATTATATGGTAAGGTGCTTTGAGATCCTAAAGTTAACAAGGCCAGAAGTGAGGCAGGGGCACCCCCCACCCCCACCCACAGTGCTTGAGGGCAGCATAGAGTAGACTCCACAGCAGACCCTAACAGAAATTGCCTTAACACCGCTCCCTTTGCTGATGAAGAAAATACGAGCAAGTGGCCTCTCTGAGGTCAGACGTCAAGAACTGGTTTCATGTACCAACCCTGAGCATCAGGAAGTGAAACACTGGCTAAGGGATAAGAAGCTTGGGCATCACCCTGCAGAGCAGCAGTTAGCCCAATGGGGAAAACAGGTGTCAAGGAGAGGTCTGTCACAGTAGGGGCTTGGGTTGTGAGAGCTGCTGGGAGCCACTTCTTCAAGGGACCATGTGAGCCTGAGTACTCTGCTCGGAGAAAAACCCAGAGTCACTGGCAGCAAGTCAGTGCTGACTCATCGTGGACTTATGAGGGGAGTAGAACAGCCCCTGTGGGTTTCCTACACTAGCTATTTATAACTACTTTATGAGAGTCAAAACCTCAGTCTTTCTCCCAAGGAGTTGTTGGTGGTTTCAAACTGCTGACCTTGCAGTTAGCAACCCAATACATTACCACTATGCCACCAGGGCTCTTGAGCTACCTGCTGCTTCCTGCTAATTCCTCCTTAGCCCGGGTGCTTCTGGGAGGGGTTTCTGTGCCTCTTTGGGCACTTCTTTTCCACTTGCTTGTAGATGGTCCCCAGGGGTGGTGTGGATGTAGGATGGGGAGGGGTTAAGGTAGGGAAGAGGTTGGATGTAGACAGCCACATAAGGAGGAAGCAGGGTGGCAGAAGGTACTTCTGAGAGCACACGAAGGTTTCTGAACCTCTAATGCCCGAACAAAGATGGACTCCCTGGAATGGGCTGGGTTTTATTTGTATTCCCCTCCCCACAAGAAAAGCAGCAGGGAGAGGGCTGGGGGTCTTCCCTAGACCACTTTAGCCCTTTGGCCCAGAGCTGGAGATCAGCAGCAGAGTGTAGGAGGGACTGGGAGGGGTGGGACAAACACTGGAAGAGGCTTTTCAGGAAAACTTGGTTCTGAGCTCAGTCCTCTGGCCTCCCTCCTCCTGCTGGGTTCTGGAGAGAAAACAGGGAGGTGAACTGCCGTGACCAGAACTGCGTGTTG